TGAGAAAGAAGCACTTAGGATATCAGTTAGAGGAGAACATAAAGCATCTGCGCATTGCTTTAGAACAAATGCAGGTATACCATCAGGGCCAAGACTACATGAGGGCTTAAGCGTTTTAAGACATTTTAAAACATCAAGGGTGTTAAAGTCCTGGAAGTTATCAGCTACAAGATTAGTAACGTTAGAAGTGGTTATAGTAGAAGGAGAGCGTATAAAAGACTGATTAAGAGCATTAACATCACAAGAGGGAAAAACATTACATCGCTTACTATTGCCAGTAATTTCATTGAAAAATTTCCACATGCTGATAGGAGATTTGCATGATTAAAGTGTTTGGTTATAGATAGCATTAAGATTTTTGATATCAGATTTGATTTGAGCATTAATCTTTTTAAGTCCTAACTTATCTTTGCGTTTGTATAACATTTATTTTCGCCTGCGAAGTTGTTTGAGATTAGGAGACGAGAAGCGGTCGAGGCGTTTGAACAGTGTTTGTTTGGGACAGCATATGTCGAGGCAGATAATCCATTATATTGGTGATTGAGTCATCTAATTTACTTTCATAGAATAAATCCCAGTTAGTATTTTTTAACATGCATCTTAGATTGAGTAAGTTGTCAGATGTGTAGCTTCTTTGTTGTGCTTTCGTAGACAGGTGTGAGAAGACTTTAATATGTGTTTTGCTGTATATTTTTGGCAAAACGCGGACAATGCAGTGATCTGAGTTTAGTATCGGTGAACGTCTACGTCTTTCATATACTCCTTCGTCATTAGTAAAAACTAGATCGAGTGTTTTGTCAAGTCGAGTGGGAAATTTGACTATGTTTGTGTGACCAAGAGCTTCAAGAAAGGAGCAATCTGAGGTGTTGAAGTCTCCAGTAATAACGGATAGAGAGTTGTCGAAGTTGGCAGCAGCAAACATGGTGAATTCATCAGCGAAATTAGATAGATCAGATGGAGAGCAACTAGGAGAAACGTAGATGTTTGTATTATAGATTTGTTTATATTTGGGGAGATGTTTGGGACGACATTTGACAGTAATACAATCTATGAAGTCATTTGAGAAGGTGAAGCAGACATTATTAGAAACAGACCATTTGGAGTGAGTAAAGGCTGCAACGCCACCACCATTATTCTTATTACAACATTGACGGTCTTGACGAAATAAAATAAAGTCCTTTAGTGAGATAAGGTTGTCATCATACAGTTTGTGTAACCACGTTTCTTGTAATGTGATTATGGCAGTATTATGATAAGTGTCAGTGGACATCAAGGATTGTAGGTACATTATCTTGTTTGGAAGAGGGCGGCAGTTTGTGTTCATTATGACGGGGACAAGTCAGTTCAAGGTTATAAAAGGTGTCAAGTGAGTGAGTGGCTAATACAAAGTGGTCTGTATTGAAGTGGAGGAGATAGTAAGACTACAATGAGAAGTTCACAATGAAATAACGAATGTGTGAAATCAAACAGGTGGAGGCATATAGTGAGAAAAGAGATAATATCAATAATAATAATAAGTCCGGATAATATAAATGGAAAAATTATGACGAACAATAATAATAATTATTGTAATAATAAGCAAAGAAAGAAAAAAAACAAGAGGGTTAATGGGAAGAAGCACTCTCGGTGAGAAGAATCATTAATCCAAGTTTGGCCACGGTGGGAACAGCCTCTGGACATGTTCTTTTTGGATACAAAGTTCCGGTTTAGTCGATCTTATTGTAACAGCTTCAGCTATGTATACAGGAGACGTAAGCGAACTGTGCGCGATAACGACTTCGGAATTTGCTGTATAACCATGAAAGCCTAACACGTTTGTCACACAAATACGACTATTTGTTTTGGCACACCCGATAACTGCTAATCTGTTATTCTACGTAAAAAGAAATGTATCCACCGCATTACTGGCTGTCATTATTGTAACGACAACAAATATAATATTTTATAATAGTATGTAAGAACCTGAAAAAGAGAAATTATTATTGAAAAGAATATTCTTCGTTCAGATTGACTTTTAATTCTTTTTGTCTGTTCGTATATTTGATTACTGTGAACTGGAAGTACGTTGTACGACGACATTAAGTTTTCATTGCTGTTGAGTAGCTGTAGCATAGTTTCTTCCGCTAGTTTTGGACCAGTTGAAGTATTTAGTGCTGTGGTATCAAAGGACACCATTATTTCATTGTCGTCCACTTGAATTTTTATGACTTTTGTCTAAAAATTCCACTGGATATTAGATAATTTAATTTCCTGAAAATTTCTTTAGATAGATTATATGATGGCGATCCTGACAGTGAAACGATTGATCGTAAGGGAATGTTTGGTTTGTATAGTTTTGGTCTACCGTAGAATCGTGGCAAAACAGATCCATTTGATTTCATTCGCCATTGATTATTATTATTATGTAACTTGTCCTGATTTCGTTAGTTTATTTCATGTTATTATTAATTTTTATATAGCTTGACTCTACACTGTATTTTTGGTACAAGTATGGAGTTGTTAGCATGTGATATCGGTAGCCCAAACATTTAGCAGGCCGATCATTGATATCAGGTGTGCATCGGGGGCCGTGTGCATTGTCGGCGAGAGTCCTAACCGCTATGCCACCGACGCACATTTTTATTATATAATGTTTGTATAGGATTTGTCTTCGACTGTTGATATACATTATTATCTTTGACTAAATCATCTGCTTACTTCATGTAGACTTCTGTCTCCATGATTGCTGTTGCTGATAGTATAACTATGTACCTTTTCTAATCTTCAATGCATTTTACTCTTAAGTGTTAAGCTGGTTATTATGTTTGATTGTGGGTATAATACATTGACGTATTCCTTTGTGGTACTTCGTCATTTAATTTTCAAAGCTCCGCAATTAAACCACACCAGTTCACAGAACTGATATACATATATAGGCTTAATTTTCTACATGTCTGTTAGTATTTCTCTCATCCCACCCAATGATTTATTTATGACCTGATTTTCTCTCACCCTACGTATGACCTTTGGAATCCTATTGGCTGTTCACCGTTTTAATTTACCAGTGACATTATTGCTTCTCAAGGTCATTTCAGACACACATATATACGCAAGCGCCATCAACCCTTTTTACTGCTGTTTTCAGACAATAAAAGCTCTCTTCTCAGCACCCAGTCTTTTCTTGTCTTTTTGTGACCCTGTAGTGTAAATGACGTGAGATTAGGACTGACTATCCAGAACATTAAGTTAGCATTCGCTCACAGTCCACTGGGTTGCAGTTCCGGTCATAACCAGAACACGACTAATTCAAAATGAGTCCGTTCTATTTATCTGTCTAAAATGTTACGTAATACAAAGCTGTATGTCTGATTTCGCCACCACGACTATTTTTATTTGATATGTATCCACATGATGTGTGTTTTGTTTTTGACAGTCTATTATATTTCGCTACGTGTATATGGATCCATATTTCATTATAATTGACAATATGCTTTTGTCTGTCCACTAACTAAATAAACATGTATGACCTTGTTGTCACATGACATCACAACCAATCATGTTAAGACTGTCTACTTATTGGTTCATGTGTATTAGCCATTTTCATATATACTTTTGTATTAGACACTTGTTTCCCACGTTTCATACACTTCGTACCATTTCACTCACACTCTTGTGTGACATTTATTTACCTTGTCTAGAAAATATGAGTATCATTGTTAACCTGGTTGTCTTCTGATTTCCCTCTTTCCGCGTCAGGACTATTAACTACTCGACGAGTACATAACATAACTGGCGAAGGGAAAAACTATGATTAACCACTCAGCAGCAGTACATAACTTTATTATGTCTTGATTTCAAACAGTATTTTCGTAAAACTATGGAAGTTTTAGCATGTGATATCGGTAGCCCAAACACTCAGTAGTCCAAACATTGATATCGGGTGTGCGTCAGCCGGCGACCAAACCTCGGACCATGTGTATGCTAGGCGAGCGTTCCAACCATTGTGCCAGCGACGCTTACTCCTCAGATAGTTACACTTATGAACAGCTTACCTTGAAGAACAGACAAAAACGCCAAATCATCCATCCTGAAAATAACTGTATTGTATTCCTTTAAAAAAACTACTCGTGAATATACATATATATATATATATATATATATATATATATATATATATATAATACAAAATAAACTACTTACAATAGCAGTATCGGTCGATCTGTCATTAATTTATCTGGCGAGCAAAGAAAACAACTTCTATGAATGACATTGAAGAGTTAGAAAAAAGAAAAAAAAGGAGGATAACAACTAAGAGAAAGACGAAAGACACTACTTGTCTGTTTGTTTTTTCAAAAAAACCGCCAAGATTATTCACTGTTCAATAATTGTAAACAACATAACAATTGAATAATTGAACATTAAAGCAAATATAGACAATGAAGACCAGTTGACAGTCGCCAGACTCATTTTCCATTCCATTTGTTTAATACAAATGCCAAGGTTAGAAGACAGGAGAATAAGAATGGCAAGAGGAGAAAAGAGGGGGGTGGGTGGGTAAAAATGGTGAAATTTTTGTAAAATACTCTGTTTCTCTTTTAACAAAAAATGTACATATATATATCACAGAACAGTAAAAAAGAAGGGTAGACAAACACCGATTGTTTTGTCTACTACACGGGTGGTGCGTGAATCAAAACAAGATTGAAGAAGAAGAAGGACGCAAAGTGGCGGGAGGAGGTCGACAACAACAACAACCACAGAAGCACGCACGCACAAACATACACGCATGTACTCTCACAACCATTCATTATTAAGCAAAATAGAAGAAATATATAAGCATACATAATATTATTACATCATATAGGAGCAAGAATAAACAGCAAACAAACACTGGTCATGACGTAATAACACTAAACACACGTGTGAACGAACATACAATTGACGCTTTATTTACATTCCCTCTTTCTTTTCATTATTACAGGTATTTTCGTTCTACCTATTACTCGCTAAAACTGTAATCTTCAAGTTTCGTTATGACTGTTATTAATATTATTATTGCTCTCCTTATCCTTCTTAACATTATTCCTCTTCTGGACAGTTTCAGTCAATGTTGGTAGTGCCGATAAATTCTTAGTAATTCCACTCACTACATTCTTCTGAGGTGCATTATTAGGTGGTTGAGAGAAGGGAGGTGGCACAGCAACGTTCTTGGTGTCCTTATTGTTGTTACTATGCATATTTTCCATACTATTCGACTGTGAACCCTCCACATTCACTTTTGAAGAATACGATTGCAGCTTTGTTATATCGATAGGTTGTGGTGGATTCTTCATTGAAGCATTGATGACTTTGACAACTTTTGAATAGACAATAACACTAGAATTGTTATGCCTGTCAATAGGCATAAGCATAGAATCTTTATTTACTGGTAATTTATTATTGTTACTCTCTGGGTTACCGGTGCTGATCTGATGCACAGTGAAAAATTCCGATGAGAATAATAGACAGCCAACAATCAGCAGACAATAAGCAACGGAATAATTTCGACCGAATCGAAGAAATTTTGTCATTTTTCTTAGTAACCATGTAACAGAATTATTACTATTATTATTATTATTATGCAACTTGGTCATTATTGGTGGTGTTAATAGCTCTGGTGTGCTGTCGACACTAAATGATGACGAAGTCAACGTTGACATTGACGACGGCGACAACGGCGACGATGGAGAGGAGTGGGAGGAGAGGGAGTAGGAGGCTGTTGCTACCAAGAGGACTAAACCTGGCAGGATGAAGCCAGTCAGTGAACCAGCAATACTAGTTGTTAAGCGGATAATCACCTCAACTAAGAAACAAATAAAAATAAAGTACATTTAGTGATTATTATTTAATTATTAAATATGCAGGGGAAAATGGAGATGGATTGGGCGCAAACGCTACTAAGTAGACCATTGAATGACATCACGTGCCAGCCAGCCAGCCAGCAGGCAACCCCATGGCTCGAGTGGAACCCGAATGCGAAGCGACTAGTGGGTCGTCATTTCGTGGGTGGCATGGAGGAGATCGTGTGAGGAGAAGGAGATGAGAGATTATGCGCAGTTGTGGGCCCAGCTTAAGGTTGCAGCAGACAACAGAACAAAGTGGAAATATGTTGTTGAAGCCCTATATTCCAATAAGAAAAAACCAATGAAAATTCAGATCACAGGGTTTTATAGAGATGTGGACTGAATAGTCGTGGTCAATGAAGCTCATCATGCTCAAGGTGTAGTTGGAGCTTATCGAAGGTAATAACCGGTGGTAGCGAAAAACCGCACGAATTCACAGCAGCTAGAGATCACAGGTCATTGAAAACCACCGTTGAAGAGTTGCAGACTCGGACGAAACAGGTGCTAAATACTCACTGGTTTTCAATGATTTCCACCCCGAAAATGAGGTATAGTCCTTCTAGGTGAAGACGCTGACAAAATGCAGAGTCTTTTGAACACCTTGAAGAGCAAGTTTCGAATGTTTAGCATGCGATTCGCTCCCGTTAAATGCAAGTTTATGCCACAGGACTGGATTAGATTGACTTACTCCTAACTTAAAGATAGGCAGAAGTGAAGTGGTAGAGCGTGTTGACTACTTCAGTTATTTAGGCAGTTGAATCAGCCAACACCAGCAGTTTGATAGCTGACGGAATTTTAGATGGAGCGTTTGATACATGCCAACTTGCTCTATCTCTGACTTAGTCGACTTGATACCCGGCTGTTGAGCAAAAGGCGTGTGAACTGCTCAGGAGTTCAGGTTTTGGGTTTCATGTCCATACGAAGATTATACTGTCGGCTACACGCTGCTGCAAGACAAGTCAGGATGTATAGTCTTAGAGGTGGACACTTTCTAACTCCCCCCACCCCCACCGACCCTAGAACGAAGAGACAGTATAGCTTGTCTGTTGATCACCCGAAGGAAATACCTTATTACTGTTACATCCCTCGATTCGGCAGCCGCCCGACTTTGCTCTCTGACCCTTAACAAAGTGTCCGTTTAGCTCACTGGATCATAGCGATATCCAAACCTTAAGATCACGACGACAAGGTATCAGCTATTGCTAGGGTTCCAATCCAGTAGTTGAACGGTAAAGTACTCGGCACGTCACCTGAAGATTCAAAAACTAACGACGAAAAAGCGCTATCCATAGCTCTTTAGTTTCCAATACTTCTTCAGATGACTTCAGTTCACAATGAAATCTACTTTGAAACTGAAGTCTCTTCTTGGAGTTTCAATTGTTTTTAGGAATCTCTCGTGAAAGCCTGGATTGCAATAAATTAATCTTTAAATGATTAATCACAATCATTTACTTCACAAATACTCCACCAATGTCCAGTCGGTTCTTCTATGCGGGTAAGAAACTTGCACCACGTGTCACGAAAAGCATTTTCAACAGGCCACTTCACTGGCTCTATACTGAAGATCAAATGGTTGACCAGAAAGAATAATTACCAAGAAACATTGTCTGGGAACAAACCAACAGGCGAGATCCGATCGCTTAACGAATATATTGGAGAAAATGGAGGTGGATCGGACATACACAGTGAATAGGCCGTCGAAAAAAATCACGCGTCAGACCCTCGAGTGGCATCCAAATGGGAAGGGACGAGTAGTTCTACAATACGAGGGTGACACATGGAGGAGATCGTGAGATGCGAGGAGGAGAAAAGAGATTATGGTCGATTGTGGTCCCAGATGAAGAGGATGGCAGAAAAGAAAGGAAAGTGGAAATGTGTCATTGAAGCTCTATGTTTGACTCGGAACCAAAGGAATAATAAGAACAATTAATACACAGCGAATACTCGCCAATGACAGTGACTGGTCCCAGTCGCGCTAAAATCACAAATTGGTACAAGTTAGAAGTCAACGGCTAATTAGTGAGTCAGGTCCCCATGGAGGAATGGTATACCAGCTAGCCTTGTAACCGGAAGGTTCTGGGTTCGAAGCATGGTGTGTGGGTGCGTACTGTCGATGATTATCAAACTAGGATGATGAAACAGCAGCTGTCCAGTTCTCCCTGGTGGTGGTGGTTTTCAATGGTTTTCTCTCTAACTGATATCAATCCGTGATTAACTCGTCAAAACAAATCGTAATTATATTTAGCAAAGAATTCATAAGACAAGGGTAAAATTTATCCTTGAAAATATATTCCATAATGTAAGATGTAATCAAGAAGGGGTGACCTATTGGAAATTAGAAAAAAGGCAGAAGTTGGCATTACGTAATAACTGTGAGAAAATGACTAAACAATAGGATTGTGGAAAATGGACAGGAACTAGTGAAAAGACGATAAAGTGTTTTTATATCAAGTCTGTATGAAAACGCAGTGTTATTAATAAACAGTAATAGAGTGATAATAAATTAGGGATGATGAGAATAATAATAACAGTAAAATTACATAATAAAAGTAAGCAAAATTATAGTAAGGACTTTACTCTGGCCACAATAGGGTGAGGGAATGTATTTAAAGCTTCAGAATGCAGAGGTCCGATTTCAGATCCCGAATAGCTAATGCTTCAGCTATGTACAGACGGCGTATGCAAAGTCCCTTTGGCCGATTTTGACGGACTCTGTGTATCACTGTGAAGCATTCATGCGGGGTGGGGGTGCTCGATGTCCGGAGATGACCAGATGTTCGACTATAGAGCTATTCTTCTTTTCTTCTCTGGCTGACCAACCTGAAGAGTGTTCCAGAATATGTTTGTGGACTTGACGTTGCGCGTATGGCCGATATACTTTGCTCAACACGAACAAGTAAACTGATAAACACACACTGAAACTGGCCGAAAACGGTATCTTATCCTTAACGTTAGACTGGATTAACTGTTTGCTGGAGAACGTGATGCGTTAGGTAACTGCTTCAATGTCTTCTTCATAAATTTAGAAAAGTACTATCTAAGAGTTTCTGCTTCGATGTAACCTCTGAATTCCAGATTCATGAAGAGAGTTTTTCTAGAAACAGTAGTGGTTTTTGATGACGGAGGCTTTTCCTTCATGCTTTTGTCAGTGAATCTTGGTGGATACAGGTGTTTCACATAATAAATTTAATTGATTCTCTATCTGAAAATTCCCCGAACAGAGTTTTCTAATCCTTAAACATCATGTACATACTAGATTTTGATTTCGGATTAGTGGGCCAAAGCTGTGGAAGTTGATGAACTGTCCCATCCATGTTGGCTTGCAAAATATTGATCTATGAATCGCACAGTCTTGTCTTCTGGTAAGTAGTACATCCAGGAATAGAAATGGCATGCTTGATTCACGTTCTAAGTTGAATTTTATTGGTGGGTGTGCTGCGTTGAGAGTTATGAGAAGATTAATCTATAACAACTTTTCATCACAAATTATAAACGTGCAGTTGACTGATCAAAGAATCAAGGATGGTGTTTTCGAGACTTATCATGAAGCAATCAGCTAAGAGTTCATACATTAAAGAGTCCGAATTCAATACTAATTTGGTTGAAGACTAAGGCAGTTAAACTATTAAGCCATCTCTATAAACAAGTTCATTTCGTCAGTGGTTCAATGATAGACTATTCCCCAACGAGCCACGTGGAAGATCTGGATCCAATTTCCAGCCGACGCAATCTGAAACGTAGCCTAGTTTACCAGCCTTCAGTAAGCTCGGAAAAAAGGGAAAGAGAGGCGGGGGAGAGGGGGCGTTGTTGGACTATAATGCGAGGCTAGAGACTCGGTATTAGTTTGTTTATTAGATGTATCATACAGTTCGAGAAACAGTATTGTTTACTGGATGACACAGTTTCGAACAAAATTTAATCTTCATAATCATATCAATTATAATCACACCACTTTGAAACTTGTGTTTTATAGTCTTCTTTGTCCTCGCCTATTCGTCGTCGTTGGGGTAGTAGAATTTTCCAGATGTTTTGACTGGACACGTGTTGAATCATTCCTGTTCCACGTGTTTGCCTCAGTTGATTCGATAAACAAAGCTTCTGTTATCGATTTCTCCCTCCACCCAGTGACAACAGATTTTGAAACTGTCATTCTATCCAATCCTATTGTATGGTTGTGTGTAATTGCATGTAGTGAGCGCTATAGTTGAACTATTCTCTAAATTTCTTATCTTATTCGGATCAACCAATCTAGATTTTGCTAGGTTTTTATGCTGGGTTAGTCTGACTGCACCTGTTCCACTAGTTTGACCAATGTATTTGACCTGACAGTCATTGCAGGCGGGTATTAGATAAACTAAATTGTTTTGTTTTAAAGGCTCCACAGGATTGATCTGTTAACCGACAAAGCTTGTTTCTAATTGAGTTTGTGGGTGGCTTGAATACCTGCCTGTCTGTCTGGATTCAACACAGAACTTGGCACCGAAGTGCAGCAGTTCGAGTTGCCGCGTTCCAAATAGCACACAGAGGTAGACAAGAAGATGACTGCAGAGAATGAATAGAGTTTGACAAGTATAAGAGTGAAGCAGAATGGGTAATGGTAGAAAGGAATATGAAAGATTACAGAGACTGAATACATCTGCGCCAGCCATTGACAACGGTTTTGAGCAATGCCACCTATTGTCTCCAGTCATTGATCCCTAGAGTCCCGAGGGCCCCAACCCGGGAGTCTGCATCTCCCTACCTGACTCACTTTAACTGTCAAGGATTTCATGGATTGATGCCATGTTTTTGTTTAGCCACCACTGGCTCTTTTCCAACCTGCATCTATATCAGCTAGTAATGCCCATCGGGGGAGGCGATGGTTAGGCATGCGCACCACGTGACCTAGCCATCTCTCAATCTATGTAACTTTATAGCCTCGTCGATTGATTTTCCCTCTCTGCCCAACACTCTACGCCTAACCTCAACATTACTTACCTTATTAAACCACCTAACGTGAGACAGAGATCGCAGACATCTATGATCGAAAGCAGTCAACCTTTTCATGTCTTCAACTCGTATTGGCCATGTTTCAGAGCCATAGAGAAGGACGGAGCGAACTGATGAGCAGTACACACGTCCTTTGGTTGATAGCCGGATGTCACGCCTACGCCAGAGATGGTGTAAGTCAGCGAAAGCAGCTCGAGCTTTTCGGATCCGTGCTGAGATTTCATCGCCAATCAGTCCGTTGGTGCTAATACAACTTCCCAAATAGGTGAAGTGGTCAACATGTTCTATCACTTCACTCCCTATCACTAAACTAGGAGTTGACGTAGTCCAGTCCTGTAGCACCATCTTACATTTTGAAGGGGCGAATAGCATGTCAAACATACGGAGATTGCTGCTCAAGGTGTTCAGAAGACTCTGTATTTTGTCAGCATCCTACCTTGGCTTGAATACTAGCCACGTTTATTCCTACCTACTTAAGAATTCTCCGTGAGGTGGTTCCCGAGGTTCCTTCATTGTATGGAATGACTACTGATGATTTAGATTCCTTATTGTTGGTGTTGTCTTGCGCATATTTGACAATCATGTGGGCATTACTATTACTAATATTATTATCATTATTATTATCACTACTATCACTATTTATTTTATTTTTATATTTCCTTACATATTTCCAGACTAATGTATCAGGGTAATTATTAAGTTTCAAGGCATCTCTTATATGTATCACTTCCTGTCTTTGATTTTCCTTGGTACTACTTAGTTTTTGTGCTCTGTCACTTAAACATTTTACCAATCCTATTTTTACTGACATAGGATGGGATGATCGGAAATCCAAATATCTTTCTGAATGTGTGGGTTTCCTGTAAACACTAGTGTTTAACTTCCCATCTTCTTTCCGTTTTACGCTGCAATCTAACATTGGAAGCTCTTCATCCTGGCTTTCTAATTCATAAGTGAACTGAATCACCTCCACCTCTGAGTTAACGTGTTCGAAAAATCTATCTATATCCTGTGTTCTAAGTACAGTGAATGTGTCATCTACATACCTCCGCCATACTTTTGAGGTGGGGGTGAACGTTTCAATCGCTGAGTTTTCCCACCTATCCATGAATATATCTGCTGCAACCGGGGATATTGGTAATCCCATGGCAACTGCCTCGATTTCGAGTGGATACCCTATTAGACCTACAGTTGATTTTACAAATTCACCTACTTATGAATTATCTAATTATTTATCCATGGTATTAAATCCCCCTAAAAGCCACTCGAAATCTAGACTAACAAATTCTTATGAACTAAAACACAGATTAGATAATTTAAAATTAGATAATGAAGAGAAAATGGTTAATTTTGACATTGTCCGTTTGTATGCAAGTATACCAATAAATATGGTCATAGCGGCAGTCAGAAACCAACTCATTTCTGACCAAGAACTCGAACTTAGGACAAAGGTGCCACTCGAGGACATAATGCTGGGAGTGAAGCTAGCCATGTCTGACTTCCACAGTATTTAAATTCCAAGGGGAAATATACAAACAAAAAGGAATGACAGCATTGTTGGTCATACTTCCTTCCAGTCAGAACAACACACAAAAGACATAACAGAAAAAGTGATCAAGTTCACTAATTTTTGTTTTAGCTAACACAGCACGACAGACATCACACACAATTATCACCAGAGTAACAAAGAAATACAGTGAAACAATAATTTATGGAATATAAGGATTAATTACATACGCACATACGCGCGCATATACACAAACAAACAAACCACCATAACTGTGATAATTTTTAAGGGTAAATATGTACATAAGTCGCAGCATTATTACGCATGAAAGATTCAATGATCGATAAATGCTGGTTTATATATTACAGTAGCAGTCACTACTCCGTGTGTGTGCATGTGTGCGTTCAAGATACTGTCTTACTGCGCCGAGAAAAAAGTACAGCACAATATATATATATATATATATATATATATATATATATATATATATATATATATATATACTTAGGCCAATACACCAAAACTCTAGAACTTCAGTAATTAAAAACCCATATGAAACGCATTCCAGGACTTGGCAATCAGATAAATTTCAATTTTGTGAAGGACTCAAGTGATACACACACTACCGGGGTGCTTTTAAGCCCCAATCATTGATAGATATATCAAAGTGTATAAAATCATGAGCTACTTTGGTCGGCTAAAGTTACATTTCCATAAAAAAACGGCCTTATTCTTACAATTTCAGTTTCTCGAGGATAACATCAGTGCCTAAAGAATACACTGGGAAAAAGAGTATTCAGCACTGATGCTGAAGTATGCTGTGTTTTCAAAACCACCCTGCCTATTTTTTGCGTTCGGCAGTTAAAGATAACCTGCCTGACATTTCGCCTCTTCTATATGTCCCTATCACAGTTTAACTGCCACTCTGGAGCGGGGTTAGCTCCTTAGGTCATACAATTAGGCGTGTTTCTCGTCGGATTTCCGAACACCATCCTGCTTAGTAGTTAAGCAAAGGACAAACCAAATCCATTAATAGTTCTGTTCTATCTCATCTCGTGGATATAGAACACAAGACTGACGTAAACAAGGCGGCTTTCAATGCTATCTACCATATGCCAACTAATCTTAACTTTACCTTAAGTGTTCGTCTACTATATATTGCTGAGGCTGGCTGTTGGGATCTACATTAAGAAGCCTAACTTATGATGTATCCAAAAGAAGTTGGTTGATTCAGACACTGTATTTACCTTGGCCGTGAAGGTCTCGATGATCCTCAGTTAGTTGTGGAAATTCCCTTAATTTTATTTGATATTCTATTTACTATTACATTTTTTATGCTTATTATAATTTATGCATCTCTCTTGAACTGTAATTTCATTGATCTTACTTAACGTATCGATATTATTTTAAAAAACACATCGATATAGTTAATGACGATTATTCTAGAATATTCGGCGAAGTTCAACAATAGCATCTCAGGTGTGCGAATGCTCCAATGACCTTTGATATGTAGTCACATGATGTCTGCCTCCGTGTTTGACAGTCTGATATATTTTGCTATGTGTATATTGATCGACATTCCATTATAACTTACAATATGCTTTTGTCTGTCCATTAACTAAATAAACAATGTATGACCTTGTTGCCATATGACATTACAACCAATCATGGTAGGACTGTCTGTCTACTGGTTCATGCATATTGGTCATTTTAATATATACTTTTGTATTGTACACTTTTGTACACACTTGTTCACACATTTCGTACACTACGTACCCTTCCACACTCACACTTGTGTGACAGTCATTTTTTTCCCTTGTTTGGGAAATACAAGTATTATCGTGAACGTGGTGGTCTTCTGATTTTCCTCTTTCCGCGTCAGGACTATTCACCATTCAGCAGTACATAACAACCTTGAACGCATGCTAGTCGTTGGCTCACGGCACCTGTCGTTATCCAAGCTGAATTATCACCAAGTAGTAAGCGAATTTCACCGAGATCACGTTGTTAAGTACTGCTTGGGCACTATGTTAATAGCTCGCTAGGATAAGGATTAGAGTTAAAGTAAGTATTGGGATTAGGGTTAAGTCGGGGTCAAAATTAGGCTTGGGGTTAGACAGCTCGTTTTCAGTCATCTCGGTGAATACATATACAGAAACTAGTCTAACATAGCAACTGATACTCCTCACTAAAACTTGGAAACATTTTTAAGTCATCTCAGAAAAAGATACCCTGTTTAATGTGTTTTCATGCATTCCCTTGCAAGTATACTCCATTTTTCATGCAAAAATGCCTCCTTTATATGATTGGTCGGTCCTCAAGGACACTCATGCATTCGCATCCCTTGGGACGCTATTAATTGAACTCTGCGAATATTCTATATATATATATATATATATATATATATATATATATATATATCATCCACCACCTGAGCTACAAATCTTCTCCTTCATATCGGTTGATATGTCAGCTCCTTGTACAGTCAGTTGTGATTAGAATATTTTCAAGAGTTAATGTGTAGGCATTTGATTTGTCGCAAATTTGGCTACGGATTGATAACAGTTATAGAACCATTGGAAAACCAGCTGGAAGTATTGTACAGCTGCTTCGTCCTAGCCTAGGACCCATCATTATCAGCACATACCCACCAAGATTCGAACCCACGGCAAACTTATCAACCATTTTCAGCTACTGAGATTCGATTCAATGAACTCCAACTTCTAGACATTCGTGATTGTCAATATCATCGACGGCGAGTAACTGTTGTCAACCTTGTGACCGAGTGAACACTCACTGATAATTAAAACAATTTAATGTGTAAAATAATGAATGAACATGCTGCTTACTTTTATTTGTTGTTAAACTGAGAAGAAATGATAGCAGAAGTATTGATACACTTATCTTTTGAAAATATCTACGTGGAATTTCTTCAGGCAAGAATAAGGTTGAATTCATTTCAACGTCAATAGAGTTTAGATTCTACAACAACAACAACAAGAACAAAAAGAAATAGGTATGAGTAAAACTCACATTAGATGATATGCATTATTAATCAACAGAAAGGCTTTAAACACCCTAGTATGTTAAAGCAATTAGTCCCTTTGATAAATTTGAATAATTTGGTTTTGTAGGGATTTTGTTTGATTGTATAGAGGATTTCATCATTATGACCAGCTGACATCAGTTAGAGAACCATTGGAAAACCTGAGAGTACTGGACAGCTGTTTCGTCCTAGTTCGATACTCTTCATCTGTACACACCCACCGGGGTTCGAACCCAGGACCTTCTGATTACAAGGAGAGTTCGTAGACCATTGAGCCACTGAGACCCGATCCAATGGTTCTTGAATTCCAACTTCTGCCAATTCGCGACATAGCGCGACTATTTCGCAATGTCTTCTTCGATGAGTTACTGCCTCATCTTCGAAATGCTGTACCCTTCTGGTCACGACTTCCCACTAGAACCCCAGGCTAACTGCCTGAATAGGGCTAGTCGATAGTGAGCATCAGATTAATTTTCAAGTATTGGTTTTGTAGGGATTTTGTCTGACTGTACGGAGGATTTCATCATGAAGCATGAATAAAGCATGTAGAAGACAAATTTCACCAGATGATAGCACTATTTCGTAGTTTCTTTACAACCGCCTTACAACTAACATCGAATAACAAACTCGGTTTCTTGGATATTACAATGACCAGGAGAGATGATGGAACGATTAAGCGATCTGTTTTTCGCAAACAGACATGGAGTGGACAATATCTTCATTTTACCACTTTTGTTCCTATTCAGTATAAACTTTGCCTAGTGAAATGTTTGCTCTCAAGAGCTCGAAAAATATGCACGAGTAACACATTGATGGATGAGTTTCAACATATACATTCAGTTTTACTAGCTCATGGTTATCCGGAAAAGTTTATCACTCGTCACAGTAAAGACAGACCACATCTCGAAAAGACACTTATGGTGTTGTTTATCGTGCTCGGGATAAAAAAGTCAATGAAATTGTTGCATTGAAACGTTTAAAAATGGAAAAAGAGCGTGATGGTTTCCCGATTACATCACTACGTGAAATCAATATGTTAATGAAAGCTCAACATGAGAATATTGTTACTGTACGTGAAGTAGTTGTTGGCAGTAATATGGATAAAATATATTTAGTCATGGATTATGTAGAGCATGATTTAAAATCGCTGATGGAGGTTATGAATGGTCCATTCAGTGTTGGTGAAGTGAAGTGTTTAATTGTACAGTTATTACGTGCAGTTGCTCATCTACACGATAATTGGATATTACATCGTGATTTGAAAACATCAAATCTTTTATTAAGTCATCAAGGAATCTTAAAGGTAGGAGATTTTGGGTTAGCTCGGGAATATGGTTCTCCGCTTAAACACTATACTGAAGTTGTTGTTACCTTATGGTATCGGGCACCGGAATTGTTATTAGGTACAAAAACAATATTCTTGTCCAATAGATTTATGGTCGGTTGGGTGTATTTTTGCTGAATTCCTACTACAACGACCATTATTCCCTGGAAAAGGCGAAATCGATGAATTGAATATTATTTTCCGGGATTTAGGCACACCAACTGAGAGAATATGGCCAGGTGTATCCCAACTGCCTGGGATTAAAAAATGCGTTTTTACAGAATATCCATATAATCAGCTGAGACGAAGATTTACAGAGAAACAAATTTCTGATCAAGGATTTGATTTACTAAATAGTTTTCTAACCTATTGTCCAGAAAAACGAATTACTGCTGAAAAAGCATTAGCTCATCCCTACTTTAATGAACGTCCTCGTGCTATTCATCCATCAATGTTCCCAAGTTGGCCAGCGAAATCTGAAGGTGGTATTGCTCAGAGAACACTATCAATTCCAAGACAGCTTCTGTACCAAAGAAAGCTATCTTTATTAACCTGCCATTCAAGGGTGGGTGACCAGATTATGCAGTTGACATCTAGCTCAAAGACTTCGATCAGCCATCAAAAGCACATTCTACGCCACATCTCTTTTTCTCACTTGCCGAACATTTTCGATCCTTGTATCTACGAGTAAAGGACGAAATTCTATGGACTCTACTTCAAATTGTACCTACAAGTTCATCTGCAGTTGTTGCAATGACACTTATGTAGGTAGAACCAATAGAATGTTCCAAAATAGCTACTAAATCATATAGAAAATCCCGATACGATTAATCTGAATAAAAATCCAGCCTCATCCATTGCAAAACACTTATATTAATGTCAGCTCACAAAATCAATATCAATTAATGACTGTTTCACGATTACTTCACATAACTCTAATTCAAGGTTAGTTATTGAAGGTAATGGAAGCACTTTGAGGGATTAATCACATACAGCCTAAACTGTGTGTACAAAAAACAATAGACTTCAATCTCCGCTTACCATGGACTACGTGACCTATCTAAATAAATATGACTGGTCATTAGTATGTACTTTTATTTTTTTAAATTTAACTGAGTAATTGTCATGCATGTTTTATTTTATTATTGTTAACCACCTTTATTCACCTTAGTATGTATTAATCACCCTTTTGACAAGAATATCAAAAACTAAACGTTTCGAGATTACCCAAAACAATATTGGTACTAGGAGAAGAAAATAAAGGAACTTTACATGAACCTTGATCTCAAGGAAAACTCAACCGCTGATATTGTCAAGACAAGAATTTTACCATCTCAGAGAAGAACATTCTACCTCCGGACGCTATGAGTAGTATTGTTCTCCAGTCGACAGACATGAAGGTCTACCAAGGGAAGCTAGAAAACCCTGGTTCGAAACTTATGCGTAATGTACACGGGCTTCAGAATTCTAACGGATCGAATGGCCTACGAAACGATTGCGTCACCATCAGCTAGCTATGGGAAGGTGATTCCAGACGCTGCTCCGCTGACTTGTGAATCAAAGTTTAAATCACAGGCTCGCAGGTGGGGTTTCTTAAGACACCTGCCTACTTCGATGTGGGCATTCGGACGGTATCCTAACCGTCTTACAAACTATGAAACAACAGTTAGTGTGACACACACCTGTTGGTAACCATAATGCACGAAATTTATGGCTTAATAACAGTAATATACTAAATTAATTCAAGAGAATATTTATGAATAAGGCATTTAGAAGACAAATTTCAGGAGATGATGGCACCAATTTGTAGTTTCTTTATAACTGATTTACAACTAACATGGTTCACAACAATAAAATAAATGCATGACAATTACTCAGTTATATAAAACAAAAGTACATACTAATGACCAACCATATTTAAATAAGTCCATGGTTGGCGGAGGTTGAAGTGTACTGTTTTCCGTATTAAATAGTTTAGGATGTATATGATTAATCCAAGGTACTTCCGTCACTCTTAATAACCAACCTTGAATCAGAGTTATGTGACGAGATAATTGTTAAGCAGTCATTAATTAATATTGATTTCGTGAGCCGACATTAATAAAAGTGCTTTGCAATGGATGATGACGACGGATTTCTATTCAGATTAACTGCATGTGTCTTAATAACCATTTTGGAACATTTAATTTAATTTTAGATTTCCCCATCGATTGATTGGACCGAAGTGCTCGGTCTCAGGTTTACATTACATGTCGGCTTCTTGTGCAGATGCTTCGATGATGTCTAGTCATGTAATTAGAAGTTATTTTGGTGGATGGTTTTGCGATGGGATCCAGGACAACGCGCATTTAATCCTATTTGGGACTCGTCAGCTGGGTTAATAATTAAAACCCGTTGCAAAAGTGGTGGCTCTCGTGGTCCAAGTGGTCTAGTGGGTTACGCTTCGGCATTTTAAACTATGGGCACTGGGTTTGAGCCTCAGTGGGAACATCATCACTCACTGAGGAAAGCAGGTACATCCAGATGACGAGTCCCAAGTAGGACGAAATGCGCGTTATCCTGCATTCCACTGGTAGTCACCATCCATCAAATAAAAATTGTGTATACAGTTGAAATAGCGAAGCTGTAGTAGCCGTAATAATAAATGAAATCACCAAATAGAATCGTCCTAATGAACCATATAATTCTTTCTATTCACACATTTTGCATAATTAAAGATTTAGTTTCTGAAGAGATAGGGGAGGGGGAGCGGGGACGCCTTACAGAGATTCGATCAAATTCAAAGTGACTTACGCACCGACATCAGTTAGACAACTATTAAAAGTCAGGAAGTACTGACAACTGTTCCATCTTACTTTCCAACTGGTCAACGGTTCACAAACCTTTTAACTCTACCGGTGCTCAAGTAATGAGACGTACCGATTTATCATTAACCATTCGTCAAAAATTAGAAGTTATGTGGGGTCGACCATTGGATTCCACCTTAATGGTTGACTAGTCAAGGGACTCGTCTCGTAAACCGAAAGTCTCTAGCTCGATGTCTGGTAGGCATCTAGGAGTTATGGAGTGAGTACTGATGAAGAGTTCTCTCTAACTTGAAACCAATAAATATTTAAATTGAAAAGAAAGGAGAAATTGAAAAGCTGCCATCATGCTATCCAGTCCAGGTTGGAATCCAAGATGAACTCGGAATTCCATTTTCTCTGTTTATTGCTATGTAGGAGTTCTGATGGTTCTCTCCAAAGATCGATCTACAGGAAACCAACATGGTATGTTCAATACACGAATCTACATAGTTAGGTTCCTTTGAGAAGAAAGAGGAATTTATTTTATTTTTATTTTATTTTTTTGATTACAGCTTGATTCCACACTGTATTTTTGGTACAAGTATGGAATTTTCAGCATGGATATCGGTGGCCCAAATTTTGCAGGCTGACCATAGATATCGGTTGTGCGTCGGCAGGGGGTCGAACCTCGGACCATGTGCATGGTCGGCGAGAGTCCTAACCACTGTGCCACTCCTTATACTCAGCAATAAGAAGGATATGTACCATTGATGCAGTCGACGGGGAACTGGAGCGACTCAGACAGGTCCTCATGGAAATTGGATAT